CACCCTGTCTAAAGGTTATTATCTATCTATTATCTATCCATTAATTTCCCCATCACTAACGTCACATTCGACGGCTGCTAAGGACCGCTGCGGGAAACGAATTTTGTGGTAAATCACAAGAAGTGAACGAAGATAAATACCAAGGCCCTATATTATTCCTCTAAAGCTAGCTTAAAATGAACGCAAGAAAAAACAATTTTAGGCTTTAGCCCTTTTAAGTTCTTGCAAAAAAGCGTCGAAAGTGTTAGGCCGGACGGCTTTTTCTGGACCGGTTCACATCAACCCGTCTCGCCCTACATACTTCAACTTTCCAGTTTCACATCGTTTCTATGGGCTCGCCCGCGCGTGGCCGTACGGCCCTTAAGGGTGGGGTATCACAGAAATATCAATTACGATCCCCCTTCCCCTCCCCCCCATCCCCTGCCCCTGCGATAAATAAACAGTGCTTAAGAAAAATAAACCTGAGTATGATCCGAGGCTCAACTTGTAGTTGTTCTTCTCGCTCGCAACAGCAAACAATTCATATTCGGCGTGGACCTTAGTTCCATCTTCATCCCTCAGATCAACGCGAAGCTTGTTCCAGTCACTGAGGGTAAGACGATGTATCTTGTCCAATCCAAGCCAAAACTCGCTACTCAGATTACCAAAGCCGTTCTTGTAATCGTCCCAACCGAGGTAGAAATTGACAGAGCCGTCCATCCTCTTCTGGATCACTGTCCAGCCCCCACCAGCTGTTTTTTGATCACAGTATACAAGAAAAGCACCTTTGCCATCGGGGTTGATTTTATAGACGCCACTGGTTTTATGACCAATGTTATACAGCTCAGCACAATTCTTCTTGATAACTGCAAATAAGGTTGAAAATCATTATCGAAGTACAAAAAAATTAAATGCCAAGGTGCTTGTGAACTTTAAATGCTCTCTGAAACAAATTACTGTTCGCTTTTATTAATACAAAATCGTTTTAAAAAGATGTTACATTGCTTAAATTATAAAGCTATATTTCTTGAGTTATATTACATACAGCTCGTGGCAGTCTATATTACTGAGTCTATATTACTGATAGCTCGAGGCAGACAGAATGCCAGCTCAATAGATATTGAAAACAACCCACTGTCCTCTTCCCCCGCGACAAGATCCAAACAATACCACAATTGCAATTTTTTTTCTGTCAAACCACCAACCTTAAATTTACCATTGTTGTAAATTTTCACACGTTGACCATTTTTCTTAACGGCAAAACTTTGTAATATCCAAAATAAGATCATTTTGTACCTGAGGGGTTTAGATCGAAATGGCTCTAACACGCCGCCGGAAGTAAATCTTAAGGATAATACACTTGGCATGTGTGAAAAAAGTGATGCTACCTGGGTGAGCCATGAGCGTCGTGTCACTGAAGAACTTGAGTTTACAGATAAGCAAAATATAGTGAGTTAAAGCAAATACTTATCATGGTTGTCTTAAAAAGTGGACTAATGTAATTTGACTCGAACTCAAATACCGAGATAACAAAATAAATAACTGTACGTAAGGTATCCACAATTACCTTTATTTTTCGCTGTGGGTATATTTCTTCCTCCTTCCGCCGCAAGCTGGTCAAGGGTACATGGATTGGAAGAATTATTGTCGTCCGGTAAAACTAAAGGTCAGTTGGTAAAGGAAGTTAGGCAAACGTCTGCGTAACTTGTGCGTGAGGTGCATGTTCTCGTAAGTAGATTTGAGGTTCGGGGTCATTTGTAAATGGTTTACATGTTCACAAACAGATCAGGTGGGCAGTCACTAAATTTGGTAACGAATCATCTTTTTCTTTAAAAAGAGAGATCACGGCCTACAAATCTAAATTTCGCGCAAAATTTTGTTGCTCTTGAAAAACGTTAGATCCTATGCACGTAAAAGCAAACGCCCTCAATTTGAACGATAAATTTCTATGTTCGAAGATTTTCAGTATGTTTAAATCGAAATACAAACTTAGCAAGCAACAGTCATCAGTGATAGAAAAAAGAGATTTTACCCTGCGTGTCGCCATCCCCATTCTGCGGCAATATGTTGAGATCCTTTTGAATGTTGCTCAGTTGTTTTTTCACATCCAGGAGAAGATTTTCGATCTTCTTGTTGGGTCCCGCATAAAAGTTGTTATTGATGTTGCACGTTTTGGAACTTGCATGACTTTGTCTCTGCACTGATCCTTGGCAGATAACCAATGAGTGAAACAGGGAAAAGGAGATAAAGACTCCAAGAATTATTTTGGACAGCATCGTATGATGGTTTGCACACTTCAGTCGTTCTTGCTGTGATAACAAGAATGAACACTGGAAAAGTTTTTGCATCATTCTAAATTTATGGATCTGGGCTCCATGGGTGGAGAAGAGATCATCCAATCAGAAAAGAGAGCGTGATACTAGTGATATAACTGAAACTGAAACAGATTTATGATGAACGAACACGTATGTTGCATTCCGAAATGTCGTTGCTTGTTACAATTTTTTTTTTTTTTTTATGGATAGCTAGAACAAAAGGCAAAACTTTTTAGGTGATCATTCAGAAATACCCTAACTATTAGACCCAATTTCTTGTCTTAGTTTGTTTTCTTATTATTATTATTATTATTATTATTATTATTATTATTTTTATTATTATTATTTTACTTTCCCCCTCCTCTTTGTTCTCAAACCAAATTAATTTCTGGCATTTGATTTTCATTCTTCATACGTCTGTTAGAACAAAGTTCATTTTAAAATAGACCACGTCTGTGAAAGGAATATAGGAAGATATAGACTGAGTTAATTAGGGAAATCTGTCAGCTAAACACCATTCAAAAAAAATCAAAAACATTTTCAGGAGATCATCCTGTCATGACGATGCTGACAGTGTTTCCCAAACATGGAAAGAAGCAGTGACGCCGGATACGCATGGCCTTCATTCAGCCAGGATAACTACTCAGAATTTATTTGTGGCATTTGATTTTGATGCTTCAGACGTCTGTTAGAACAAAGTTCACCTTAGAATCACGCCAGCGAAAGGAATACAGGAAGATGTAAGTTAATTAGGCGAATCAATCAGAAACACAACATTTAGAAAAACTTTGAAAACATTTTCAGGAGATCATCCTGTCTTAGTGATGCTGACATTATTTCCCAAACATGAAAAGAAGCAGTGACGCCGGATACATGGCCTTCATCCAGCCAGGATAATTTACAATCACAGCTGTTCTTTGCTTTTCGCTTGTATTCTTTTTTCTGTAGATTTCTTCTATCTTTTATTTTTTTATTTCTAAGTTTTTCCAGCTTTTTGTTTGTGAATTCGAAGCAAAGTTTATTGCAAAACCTAATAGTATTCGAAGCAGGCAGCAAAAATACAAGAAGACAAGGAGAGAAAGCCAGACTGATACATCAGATACGTGTCAATACAGGCTTGTAAACAGTTTTGGAGCTACTCCTATGATCAGAAGATCATCCTGTTTTAATGATGCTGTCGCTGTTCCCCAAAAATGGAAAGAAGTAGCGGAGTGCGCCTTTCTTTCAGCTAGGATATCGACCATTGTAAGACATCAAATGTTTAAATAAAAAGTGATACACTATAATCATCAAAAGTTTTTAATAATCAAAACTACTTTGTATTTGTATCATTTAATTATTTATTTTTCATAGTGTCTTTCTTTCTTGTTTATTATTATTATTATTATTATTGCTATTATTGTTATTATTATTATTATTATCAATAGAAGGGAGACAGTCTCTGACCCCTAATCATTTTAAACGATTTACGTGACCGAAGTCATCCCAATTGGAGCTGGCAACAGGCATACAGGATGGCAAAGATTAAGCGAATTGATATCCATCAGTTGTAATTCGATTTGGAGTACTATGTTTTTTCATTGTGGTTTCATTACTCCCCCAAAATGGAAAGATCTAGCAACACCGGATACTCTAACCGTGTTCATTCGTGTTCGTGAAAACGGTGCAGCTCTTAAACATGAATGTAAAGTTGGCTATTATATATTTGCAAAACTTATGGAAATAACCCCGGAGTAACGGAAAAGTATCATAACGAAGAGACCTTGCTGGAACTGACTATAGCCCAGACAAAACAAACGTTATAAAATTGAGACGGAGTCCATGTCAAGTCTACTTGAATTACAGATTTGTCTACCGTTACCATATTGTTTATCGAACTGGGAAGTCCTTTATGGCGAAATCTCAACGCAAGCAACAACCGTTTCAGAATTTGCCATCTTTCACTGATATTATATTTACACACACGAGTCACATGACGTTTTCTACATTGCTGATCCTAGCCGTACGCAGAACGCGTGCTACATAGGAAACTTCGTAACAGCCCTGCTCACCATGGAGCATAGAGTCTCTATGGCTCAGTAGTAGACCATCGGAAGGCGGAATACGAGATTTAATTCCTCATAGGCACTCAGAATTTTTCTTTATCCAACGCTCGTGACAAGACGAAAAACATCTTTCTTTTCTTTTCTATTTTATCTAATCTCATTTTCCTTGAGTAACATTTTAACTACACTCAGAGCCACAGAATTAAGATTTTTAAGCCAGATAAAGTTTGACTCCCACGCTTTGACTTTAAGCCTCGCTTTTCACAAACAGCTAGGAGCCTGCAAGGTTAAAGAAAATATCCAAATCAAATCCGTGATCGACAGAAGGTTCGTCAACAAACCAATCGCTTTACGGGCATGGCGACTTTGCTAAGGCATCAAGGAAAACCCAGAGATATGTGCCAAATCCATTTTTGCTGAAATGCCTCAGTTTCGAGTATTAAATATTTATATCGAAAAATAAAAGAACGGAAAAACAAAACGTACTCAAACGCAAAAAATAAAAAAACAAAAAAACAAAAAAAAGAAGAAAAAATAAGGTTCAAACTTGGCACATTTCAGATTTTTATCGATTTGACGGAAAAGTGTCGTGATTCTGTTATCAAATTAGATGATATGCGAGCTGTAAATCTTGCCCTATGACCTCCTCACTTGCAAAAGGAAACATGAACTATTATAAAGTAAGATCTTTACGTTTCGAGATGACGAAGCCTTAAGTCAAAAAACAAATTCCTTGAATTTTCTCCCTGTGTAGCCTTTAAGTATTGATGATTTTCGATGTAGTTTGTTCAACTATTGCGAAGAAATTAGTTATTTGCTCGCGTGCTGCAAACGAAATTGAAACGTGAAAATAGCGATATGTAATCACTTCCAGTTCGCAAGGCTCACGCAGAAAAACAAGGCTTTGGATACATTCCATGGGCCAAAAAACCCTTTTCTTTCACCGGGAGGTAATTCTAAGATGACCGACAAGAAAAGCCTTCTTCAATAAGGGAGCATTCATAATTATTTACCTAGAGGGTGGGCTATTATGATTTTGAGGGGGTCACTCTTTTTCCCTATTATGATTTGGGGGGGCCAAAAAACCCTTTTCTTTCACCGGGAGGTAATTCTAAGGTGACCGACAAGAAAAGCCTTCTTCAATAAGGGAGCATTGATAATTATTTACCTAGAGGGTGGGCTATTATGATTTTGAGGGGGTCACNTCATCATCATCATCATCATCATCATCATCATCATCATCATCATCATCATCATCATCATCATCATCTGAGACTGCTTCTGGCTTTGTAAAAGACGTTGCCCTGTTACAGTCATGGTTCTCAATGCCTCAGCCCTAGTCTCTTTCAAACGAGTGGTAATCGATSAGTTCCATGTTTTCTTTTCTCAGCTTTTTTCTCCAAGTTAAGGAGTGATTGTTAAAATACAAGTCAAGTTCCGAAACGTAAAGAGAATTTAGCCCTTCAGTCAGAAGAAGCTCCTCCCAATTGTAATCTCCATAGCTCTTAGATGCTCTCGCGCGCCTCTTCTGAGCAGTTTCCTGAATTTGTAGATTTTTGCAATAGGATAAGTGTTTTAAATGGTCTATGTTATTCTGAACCAGCTCCTCAGAAACCACAAAACCTAGAGAAAATTCAGCTATCTCTTTTGCTGTTGCCGACTTTCCTTCAGCGAAATTTTTTTTAATTTGTACCCTTGGCATTTAGTTGTCCACTGGTCAAGGCTTTCCATCCAAACATGCAAGAGATTCAAAAACACTTTTATATCTGGATGTCTCGATAACTGGGAAAGGGCACGGAATCCTAGTGTCCATCACAGAACCAAGCCAGCCATTGCCACACGAAACGCGCTTTCTTCCTTTCTTTACTATGCAGGCATCCTTGATAAACTCCATGTATAGTTCTCCAATATCATAATGATAACTAATATAGTCACAAATTTTGACAACATAGTTCAGTATAGCCGGGTACATTAGTTTTTGAATTTTCAGGTGTTTTTATGAAATCATGGAGCTCGCTATTAAAAAAGAAAGCCTCCATATCTTTTTCGGTTACAAATACCTTACACAGTCTGACAGAACGGGTGCATCATCAATGCGTAAAGCTATTTCATTAGCAACTCTCCATGCGTTTCTTTCAATTCTTTCATCTTTGTGTTTTTCATAGTCTTTCAGTGTCATCTTCTCGATTTCTTCGTCTGATTTGTCATGGAATCTTGGAAAATATTCCCATCTTATTGATCCACCATCAATAACTGCATGTCCTACTGCCTAATTTGTTCTTTCTGCTTCTCCTTGGCCTCTGTCTTCTTGTGCTCTACGAACCCTGATGCGGTAGTCAGAGTTCCAAAGTTCCAAATCCTTGATAACTCGGCTAATTACCAATAAAGCTCAATATAGCTGTCACAAGATTTTGATATGGCTAAGGGTGAGTTTGACATGTTGTACTTATGTGCTGGGGGGGGGGGCTATGAAATTTTCTTTTGATAAATTAACATCTCTTGAGGAGGGGTCAGAAAAAAAACCCTGAGATGATCAGGGGGGGTGGGGGTTCAAAAAATGAAAGGAAAAAAGTGAGGAAATCATCATAGCCCACCCTCTAGATAAATTATGAATGCTCCCTAACTTGATTTGACGTGTTCCAAACTAAGTGTTTTGCCATCAGCATCGAATTCTTAACAATTGATTTGAAAGATACGCGAAAACGTAATAACAGAGTATAAACAAACTATGAATCTTGTAATACTCAGTGGGTTTAGATTTGCCCGGGGTGCGATTAACCCTCTTGCCTTGTTATAGCTCTCATAGGTGCCTGACTAAACCTGACAAAAGAAAACGATGAGCGATGGAAACGAAACATGTCTGTTACCGCAAATATGGTCGCATTTGGGGGTCGCACTAAGTTATGTGGCGTGATTTGGCGAGCGAGTGCTCAGTATTCTCCTTGTGAAAATTATATCTGCCATCTTTGATTTTTATAACCGCGGAAGGCTGGGACGAGAAAGAAATTTGTACTAAGGGGTGAGCATGAGCGACGGTCAAAGAGAAGGAGATGAGAGGGGGGGGGGCACTACAGTCACCACTGAGTTGCAATATACTTCTCTTCTTTCTTCTCATTCTCCTCCGCCTTCGTTTTCTTCTTCCAAAACTTAGTGATTAGCGAAAAATGCGAGACTCTTTTCAAATGACACGTCAGGGAAATTTTAAAACCCATATAATATTTAATTCATTCTATATCAAATTATAATGCGTTGGCTTTAGAAAGAGTAACAAAACATTTCAACGGTTTTTTCAATAAACAAAGAAAAGCACAAATTAATAGAAACAGTTGCAGACTTACTCCTCTGTTTAAAAAGAATTGTAGTAAAACTGGAGAAGTTACTTCCAGCCTTACCTAGCTTCTTTACGATATTTCAAAATGTGTTTACAAATTAATTATTATGTCAAGCGAAATTTCAACAAAACCTGGTTTTTGCTATGGAACCCTTTTTACGTTTGTTATTAGATGTTTTGTTAAGTTTTTTAGCCTTCGACTCGGCAAAAATACCAAAAAAAAAAAATTTAAAAGTCTCTGTCAGCTTAAAAACTTAAATGAAAAGATCAGTTTCTTTCCGGCCACTATTGTAGCAAGATTTGTTTAACTTTCCAAACAATAAGATCTCTCGAAAAATTCCTAGTCACGGTTCAAGATAATGGTCCGTCAGTCATAGTGTTGGTCGTTATGGCTTTACGATATTGATTGTGTTCTTGGGCGGAACTGACCGCTAATTTACCTTTTTGGTGGACTTCTTTAATGCCTTGTATTTTGTTCGGTTCGGGTTCTTTACGAGATATCTCCTATGGGTTTTAGACTTAAGGTGCCTCGATTGCCAGAGGGTAAAAACTGATCTTCGACGCTTATTTCGTTCTTGTTGGTGTAATATTTCGTTGCTGTTCTTTGCAATCTTTTGCTTATTCATTTGTGTTCCCCTGTGTTCCCTTGGGTATTCTTTGTTGTGGTTTCGATACCTTAAGTATTCGTCTCTCCTTCGCTCTTACTTTCTTTGTGTCGCGGAGAGAGAGATCTTTTCTCGAGATTTATTTCGCGACCAAATCTCATACATGATCCTTCCTTGAGCCGGCGTTTGAAGGATGAATTTTGATAACACGAGTAAACGGCAGTGAAAAGCGCAGATGTAACTGTTACTATCCACATTATTATCACAGGTAAATGAAGATCAGTTAAATTCACAGCCAAATCCAAAATAGAAAGGGTAAACGCCACCATAAACGAAAAGATCACCAGGGTCCAACATGGCGTAAGTTTCTTGGAGTTAACCGCCTCGCGAAATGTCGGCATTGCACCTGGTAATTTCCTTTGATATGGCTATCAAAGCGTCGTTTTAGTTTAAAACAGCTTTTAACTTCGAATCTATTTCACTTCTGTTAGCGAAGTTAACGCGTCAAAATGTTCAACCAATCAGGAGGGAAAAACGATCAAATTAAAAACAAAACACTTTCAAGTTCGTTCGCGATTCAAATTTACGAACTAAACTCAATTTGAATAAAATTTACATTTTATCTACACCACAAAGCAGAGAATCCTTTATTTACGTAGTCTTCTGTAAGTAGAAAACACGTGCTCTGACGACTTTAATGCGACAATACAATGCTTGTTAAAAACAGTTAATCTTTTTGTTCAAAGTGTGCGGGCGATGGTACAACCACCCCTCAGTCTTTGTCTTTTCTCACTGTTATGAGTTTTTTCGCCTTTCTTAGTCGTGATCGTGCAGATTCTGATAAGAAAAAAAAAAAAAAAAAAACCAGTGCAAAATTAGCATTTAAATCTGATCTATTTTTTAGAACCTTTTAAGATTTCATCTACAATTGTTTTACTTTCACGCGCTAATTGTAAAAATCCTCCAAGGCTTTCTGTCTGTACGAATTCAACCTTGTGGTAAAGAGGCGTGTCGCGTAATCCCTTTGTTGACTTAAACACGTAGGCGCGCTATATAAGGAAGTCTTCCCTGGGAAGACCTAGGCTCATTTGTCACTCACCGTTGACGTGTGTGGGTCAAATTCAAATGCTGGTAGACGAACAAAAAGAGCTAATGAGATAAAAAATTAAATTCTTTTTGTTTGCTGATGACACGAACGCTGTATATGCTGACAAAAATCTCAAGTCCCTTGAGTCGACTGTAAATCAGGAACTCTGTAAATTGTTCGAATTGGTTAACTGCCAATAAACTAACCTTGAATATTAAAAAAAACAAATTTCTTAGTTTTTAGACCGACTCAGAGAAAACTTACCTATCACCCCAAAATAATGGTATTCGACAACGATAAAAATAAGAATATGGCTCTAGAATGTAAAGAATTCGTGAGATATCTAGGTATAATAATTGAAAATAACCTTTCCTGGAAACATCATATTGACCACGTAGCTATAAAAATGAGTCGAATTGTAGGATTGATCTATAAACTACGGCATTTTCTGCCAAGACATACTC